CATGTCCCTTTATCCAGTATCTCATCTCCCCTGTCCCCATATCCCTGTGTCACGCTGTCCCTTGTGTCCATCTGTCCTTGTGTCCCCTCTTCTTTATTTCCCCATGGCCCTGTTCCTTGTGTCCCTTCATATCCAGGTGTTCCCCGTGTCCCTATGGTTCCCCCGGGCCCCGTCTGTGCCCCAGTGTCCCGTGTCCCCACGTGTCTCCCCCGTTGTCGCCGTCGGGGTCAGCGCGGGACACCCGCCCCCCGCTGCAGCACCGCCGTGGAGCCTCCAGCACAGGGGGCGCAATGGAGCCGCTGAGCCGCGCTGAGCGGCACTGCAGCTCTATGGTCCCTTTGGAACGAACCAAGCAGGGAAGAGGGGAATTCACGGACTGGGAACGGCGAATCCACCCCCGATGACACTCCGAGGCCGCGAACGGCACCGAAGAGGCAAAATGTTAAGGGAATCAAGTTCAGAGTGATGAAACACGGTGGTCATGGCCGGAAAAGCCGCTACGATGGCCGGTGGTGCGTTCTGAACCCCCCGCCCAGATGGGATGATCCACTTCCCTCCTCCGTGCCGTCAGATGGTCGGGCCCGGGCGGTGAGTGCGGACCGGGGCTGGCACCGGGGCCGGGGCTGAGGGGGATCCGGGGACGGGGCTGAGGGGGCCCAGGGACCGAGGGGGATCCGGGGCCTCGAGCCTGGAGGGATCCTGAGGCGCTCCGTGCGAGAGTGAGGTGGGCTCGGGCCGGGACGTCTGGACCTGTGTGGTGTTTTTGGGGGGTCCTGTGAGGAGGGGGTGGGCCCGTAGCGGGACACCCGGGTTCCTCAGGGGTGTTGGATCCCTGAGGGGACCTGGCCAGGACATTTACTCCTCTGGGGTGTTGTGGAGCCCGTAGCAGGACTCCTGCCGTCCCTGTGTGCTAACGGCCGGGGTGTGAGGGGACCAGCTCAGGTTTCTCTGGGTTGTTAGAGGCTCAGGCCAGGACATTTGGGTCCCTGTGGGATATTGAGGGGCCTGCACTGGGACCACGAGGCCCACACTGGGTGGGCGGGCATGCACTGGGACAGTGAGCAGACCAGACCGGGATATTTGGGTCCCTGTGGAGGGGGCTCACCCATCGTGGGACACCTGGATCCCTTTGGGGCACCCAGTCCTGAACCCCCTGAGCTTCTGCGAGGTGTGGGGGAGGGCCTGTGTCTGTGGGATGTGAGAGATTTCAACCCACCCCATCTCTGTGGGGCTACGGGGGGCCTGTACCGAGGGTGTCTGGATCCTTGTGGCATGTGGGGGGCTCAAATCAGGACATTTGCTCTCTGTTAGGCTATGGGGGGGATCTATATCGAGGGTGCCTGGGTTCTTGGGGCATGTGGAGGATCAGATCAGGACATCTGGGTGGGTCAGGACACCAGCGTACAGGGGGGTGGCAGAGGGGCTGTCACCCAAGCCGGGCTGCCCCCAAACCCCCCCCTCCCACCCTTGTGTCCCCTCAGCAGCCGCTGCTGTGGCCCCTCCAGCGCCGGCCCTGCCATGAACTGCCGCGCCGAGGTGCTGGAGGTGTCGGTGGAGGGGAGGCAGGTGGAGGAGGCCATGCTGGCCGTGCTCCACACCGTCCTGCTGCACCGCAGCACCGGCAAGTTCCACTACAAGAAGGAGGGCACCTACTCCATCGGCACCGTGGGCACCCAGGACGTGGACTGCGACTTCATCGACTTCGCCTACGTCCGCGTCTCCTCCGAGGAGCTCGACCGGGCCCTCCGCAAGGCTGTCGGGGAGTTCAAGGTAAGGGGGAAAATGGGAGCATAAAAGGCATTAAAGGGAAGCCACACATCTCCAAGGGTCACCCAGGATCGAGTAGGGGGACCGTGTGGGTGGATTAAAAGGAGCAGATGAGGTCATTAGATCTGTTCAGCTGGAGGAGTCTGAGTGGAGACTCAGCTTCGTCCCTAGGGCAGCTCTTGTCTCTGCTCCCTGGGACAGTGACACGACTGAGGGAATGGATAGGGCTGTGGCAGGGAAGGGGTAGGCTGGATATTGAGAAAAGCTCCTTCCCCCAGAGGGTGATTGGGCACTGGAACAGCTCCCCGGGATGTGTTCATGGCCCCGAGGCTGCCAGAGCTCAAGGAGTGTTTGGACACCACTCTCAGTGGTGGGATTGCTGGGGTGTCCTGGGCAGGGCCAGGAGTTTGCCTGGATGATCCTGAGGATATTCTGATCCTGAGAACCCAGTGGGATGTGCCCGAGGAGGGGTTGCTCAGTCCCTGCTCCCCCATGAACCCCGTGCTGTCCCGCAGGACGCGCTGCGCAGCTCCGGCTCCGACGGCATGGGGCAGATCTCCCTGGAGTTCTACCAGAAGAAGAAGTCACGGTGGCCCTTCTCGGACGAGTGCATTCCCTGGGAGCTGTGGACCATCAAGGTGAACGTGGTGAACCTGGCCAACGAGCAGGAGCGGCAGATCTGCCGCGAGAAGGTGGGGGAGAAGCTCTGCGAGAAGATCATCAACATCGTGGAGGTGATGAACCGCCACGAGTACCTGCCCAAGATGCCCACCCAGTCCGAGGTGGACAACGTCTTTGACACCAGCCTGAAGGACGTGCAGCCCTACCTGTACAAGATCTCCTACCAGATCACGGACTCCCTGGGCACCTCGGTCACCACCACCATGCGCCGGCTCATCAAGGACACGCTGGCGCTGTAGGGCTGGTGTCACCCAGGCAGGGTCACCGTGGGCTGTGGCATTTTTGGGGCAGTGACTCTGCTTGGATCCCCTCCTTCACCTGCAGAAAGCCTCTGGGAGGAGCTTGGCTTGGCCTAGCCTGTAATTTGGAGGTTGCTGCTCCTTGGTTTATGCCGTGGGGTTTTGTCCATCCTGGAGAACTGGCTCAGTGGCTCCAGCCTGGCTGATGACTGGGGTGAGTCCTCAGGGCACGTGTGGCACCAGCCCTGAGTGGTGCTGGGGCCTGGCAGAGGGTGCTGGGGGTCAGGGTGGCACCCCACCCCACCCCTCTGCAGCACACTTGGTGCCACACAGCCAGTGCTGGCCGTGTTCCTTATCACCACCTGTCCCCAGTGTCACTCCTGTCCCTGGGGGGCCAGAGCTGCCCCAAAAATAAAGAGTTTCTGCTTTCATATGGAGCCTGGTCACGTCCTGGCTGTGGGGGCCATGGGAGGGGAGAATGGATGCTGAGGCTGAGCTGGTGGTCCCCATCACATCAAAACCATGGGGCTGAGCTGGGGGGTCCCCATTGCACCCCTGAGCTGTGGAGCTGAGCTAGGGGACCCCAGTGCTGTGGAGCTGAGCTGGGGGTTCCCTGAGCCATGTCCCCATTGCACCCCAGTGCTGTGGGGCTGAGTGGCTGCAGTGGGGACAGGCAGAATGGGGAGCCCCAGCTGCCCCCCAGAGCACCTCGGGAGGGGGCTGGGGTGATTCCTCATTCCTTGCAGGACTCCGCACCCCTCCGGGGGGGCTCCAGAGCAGAGCAAAGCTGCTGCCCCTTGCCGGGGGGGGCACCCAGCACCAGGGAGTGTGAGGGGGGCCGTGGAGGGAGGATAAGACAGTCCTTGACATCACTTAAACCCTCCCGTCTGTCACCGCCACACTCGGCTCCCGGGAGGAGGACGAGGAGGAGGAGAAGGAGGAGGGGGACATGACGGGCACCCGCGAGGACACGGGGGTGATCGAGGCTGCCCAGATCGCCGTGGTGCTGGTGCTCTGCCTCGCTGTCACCTTCGCCATCCTCTTCCTCGGCTGCAACCTGCTCCTGCAGGCCGAGAGCCTGGCAGCGCCCGCGGCCCAGGGGGAGCGACGCCTGTCCGAGCCTGACGGTGGCACCGAGGGCACGTAGGGACCGGCTGGAGCCTCACGGATGGACAGATGGACAGTTGGACAGCTGGGCACAGCTGGATGTGGATGGACAGATGGACAGCTGGGTGTGGGTGGACAGCAGTGTCCTTGTCTGTAGCACCTCCGAAGGCGTGGGACGGCGCTGGGGGCTTGTGTGGGTGGATGTCACCGAGCTCATGTAGGGACTGGGCAGTGACTCCAGTGCATGGACAGATGGACAGCCAAGCACAGGTGGGTGTGGATGGATAGATGGACGGATGGACACGGATCAACACGGATGGATGTGACTGGGCAGCAGCGTCCTTGCCTGCAGCACCTCCAGTGACCCTCGGGAACGGAGCAGGATGTGCCCTGGGATCCTGCCCTGAGCACTGGGGACTCGGGTGCCTGGATGTCACTGAGGGCAGGTGGGACCTGCCTAAGCCTGGCGGACGGATGGATGGACAGACAGCAGCAGCATCTTTGCCCACAGCATCTCCGAGGGTCCCCCAGGATGGAGCAGGGGGCTCGTGTGGGTGGATTAAAAGGTCCCAGGTCAGCAGCAGTGCTGGGGTGGGGGGGGGCTGAGGCCGGGCCAGATCCCACCCTGGGTGTGGCAGTGCTGGTAATCCCCCCAAGAGGATTAGGGGAAACTTTTATTCCCTGTTTCAGGGCTAATCCCTGGGCTGGTGGGGCTCAGCGAGGGAGGCCAGGACCTTGTGCTGCTGCTGAGGGTCTGGGGTGGCATCCTGCCCTTCCCAGCCCCTCACACCCCCATGGCCACGTTCCACCCCCACGAGCCCTTTCTGCCCTCCTGGCCCCATCCTGCCCCTCCTCTGCCTTTGGAACCTCATCCTGCTCCCCCTGCAGCCCCTGCCAGCCTCCAGTCTGTTCCCAGTCCCCCACAGCCACCAAAAGTGGGGTGAACTGGGACCACCCCACACTGGAGTGAGGCTGGGGATGCGGGGGGCTCCCAATTCCTCTCCAAGCAGGTCCCCCCCTCTCCTTAATCCCACAGTTTTAATAACAGCACTGTAAAGCTCTGCCAAATGTCTGGTGCCTGCACATCTCTGTGCCCCCTTCCTGCCCCCCAGACACAGGACCACAGCCTGGGGAAGCTCCCCAAACTCCTGGGCTGCCTCTGTGCGCCCACCACGTTCCCCCAAATCAGACACTGGCCATGTAAAAGACTCCATATATTTCACATGTACAAAAAGTCACTGTGGGGGGAAGGGCAGGGGGGTCCTGGGGTGGGGGGCACCATCCTGCCCCTCTCCCGGTGCCCCCCCAGCCTGGCTTTGGTCCCTTTTTTTTTGGCACTTAGTGTTCACATCAGTGGTCAAAGTGTCGAGCGCGGGGTGGAGGGGTCCCTCTGGTCCCTGTAGTGGGGCTGGGGGCTCTGAGGCAGTGAGCCCCCCCCGGGGACAAGGGGACCCTGACAGGGAGGGAGCACCCCACGGGTCAGCTCCTGATGCTGGGGTCCCACCACGGACAGATTTGGCCTCTGTCTTGGGTGGGCAGGGGGTGCAGGGTCTCCCCGGGCACAGGGATGTCACCCGTAAGGATGGTGACACGGGGACATTTTGGCCCTGTTCCACGTGGTGTCAGGGCAGGACGGAGCCTCACTGGGCACTTGGGGGGCAGAGGGGGGTGAGGAGGGACTGAGACAGCCCCAGTCCTCCCCTGCCCCCCGGTCGGGCTCCTTTGCCTTGCTGGGCTACAGGCGGATCCACCTTCGGGCTGTGGGATGGAAGGGACAGTCAGGGACAGAGCCAGGGACACCTGGCCTGGCCTCAGGGGGTGCCCAGGTGACACCCCCCAGAGTACAGGCACCACAGGGTGAGTCCTCCAGGCACTGGCCTAGGATCCAGTAATGCACTGGCATCCCCACTCTGGGCTCCAGCAGGGCACTGGGACCGTACCCTGGCATCCAGTCTTACACTGGGACCCTGCCTTGGCATCCAGTTTTGCCCTGGGATCCTGCCCAGAACCCAGTGGTGCACTGAGACCTTGTCCTGGGACCCAGTGGTGCACTGGGATACCAGCCTGGGATCCAGTACTGTGCTGGGATCCCATCTTGAGACCTGGGATGCTGCCCTGGGATCCAGTGACCCCTCTCTGGGATCCAGTATTGCAGTAGGATCTGTGCTGGACCCCTGATCCCGGGCAGGGATCCTGTGCCAGGACTCCATGCTGGGTAGAAACATTTCACTGGGATCCAGAGCCAGGAGCTGGCCTTCCACCCAGATCCAGCCTTATGCTGGGATCCTGTGCTGGGATCCAGCCTTGCACTGGGATCCTAAGCTGGGATCCAGCTTTGTTTTGGGATTCTGTGCTGGGATCCAGCTTTGCACCAGGAACTTGTGCTGCGATCCTGTGCTGGGATCCAGGCTTGAGCTGGGATCCTGTGCTGGGATCCAGGCTTGAGCTGGGATCCTGTGCTGGGATCCAGCCTTGCACTGGGATCCTGAGCTGGAATCCAGCTTTGTGTTGGGATCCTGTGCTGGGATCCAGCCGTGCACCAGGATCCTGTGCTGGGATCCAGCCTTGAACTGGGATCTTGTGCTGGAATCATGTTCTGGGATCTAGCCTTGCACTGGGATCCTGAGCTGGAATCCTGTGCTGGGATCTAGCCTTGCACTGGGATCCTGTGCTGGGATCCAGCCTTGCACTGGGATCCTGTGCTGGGATCCAGCTTTGAACCAGGATCCAGTGCTGAGGCGCTGCCTTGCAGTAGGATCCTGTGCTGGGATCCAGCTTTGTGTTGGGATCCTGTCCTAGATCCAGCTTTGCACCAGGAACTTGTGCTGGGATCCTGTGCTGGGATCCAGCCTTGAACTGGGATCCTGTGCTGGGATCCAGCCTTGCACTGGGATCCTGAGCTGGAATCCAGCTTTGTGTTGGGATCCTGTGCTGGGATCCAGCCGTGCACCAGGATCCTGTGCTGGGATCCAGCCTTGAACTGGGATCTTGTGCTGGAATCATGTTCTGGGATCTAGCCTTGCACTGGGATCCTGAGCTGGGATCCTGTGCTGGGATCTAGCCTTGCACTGGGATCCTGTGCTGGGATCTAGCCTTGCACTGGGATCCTGTGCTGGGATCCAGCTTTGAACCAGGATCCAGTGCTGAGGCGCTGCCTTGCAGTAGGATCCTGTGCTGGGATCCAGCTTTGTGTTGGGATCCTGTGCTAGATCCAGCTTTGCACCAGGAACTTGTGCTGGGATCCTGTGCTGGGATCCAGCCTTGAACTGGGATCCTGTGCTGGGATCCAGCCTTGCACTGGGATCCTGAGCTGGGATCCAGCCTTGCATTAAGACCCTGCCCCAGTCCAAAGGCCTGGGGCACACCAGACACCCTGGGGTGACAACATGCAGGGAGGGGGCGTGCAGAAGGGGGCATGCGGGGTCAGGGGGAACCCAGGGGGATCCAGGTGGGATCCAAAGGGATCCAGGCATGCAGGTGGTACCTGGGCTCTTAACAGCTGGACTCGTCGTGGTGGGACGGGTCGCAGAAGAAGCGGGAGCCCCGCTTGGCCGTGCGGGCAGTGAAGGGGACGCTCTTCAGCGCTGCGGGGGTACGGGCAGGGGACGGGGGGGACAGGGACACGTCAGCCCCCGTGGCTGGCAGGGCCAGGGCAGGGGGCCAGGGGCTGAGGGGGCCGTACCGGTGATGATGTCCTCGATGGTGCCATCCTTGCCCTCGTACATGGGCCGGTGGTCCTTGGCCTGGCGCCGCCGCAGCTCCGCGATCAGCTCCTGCTGCTGCCACTTGTTCCGCTGCGAGGGAGGCACGGGGGGTCCAGGTTAGGGACACTGGGGTCCTCTCCGTGCCCCCTACTCCCCAGCCCACCCCGTGGCTGCCTCCACTAACCTTCTCCTGCTTTTTAGCCTCCTGTGCCAGCAGCTTCTCCCGCATCACCTCCTCCTGCTTCTTCCGCGTCTCGTTTTCCTGCTCTGCGTCCTGCCAGGGCACACAGGTCGAGGGGGTCAGCTTTCCCCCACCACGGTGCCACTCACCTGCAGGGTACCCCCTCCCGGCCCCACCTCACCTTGTAAGAGTGGATGAACCGGACAAAGACCGGGAAGAAGACAGACGGGGGGGTGGTCTTGGGGCTCTCGCCGAAATACCGCACCACGGTGTTGTAGGCATCCTGGCACAGGACCGGTGGTCAGGCACGGGCAGTGTCCGGCACAGGGGGAGGGCAAGGCATGGCGGGCATCACGTGTGGGCAAAGCAGGGCAGGAGGGCACAAGGAGTGTGCAGAGCAAGGTGTGTGTGACAAGGAATGCACACAGAGAGTGCAAAGGAAGGCAGGAGAGCACAAGGAGTGTGCAGAGCAAGGTGTGGGTGACCAGATGTGCACAAGAAGTGTGCAGAGCCAGGAGCAGAACCAGATGTGCACAGGGAGCACACAAGGCAAGGTGTGGGTGACCAGATGTGCACAAGGAGCATGCAAGACAAGCTATGGATGACAAAGAATGACACAGAGCATGCAGAGGAAAGCAGGAATGCAAGAGGAGGATGCAGAGCAAGGTGTGTGAGTGACCAGGTATGCACAAGGACCGTGCAAGACAAGGTGTGGGTGACCAGGTGTGCACGAGGAGTGTGGAAATCAAGATAAGGACATGCAGGTCTGCACAAAGACTGCATAGAGCAAGGTGTGGATGATGAAGAATGACATGGAACACGCAAAGGAAAGCAGGAGTGCAAGAGGAGCATGCAGAGCAAGGTGTGGATGACCAGCTGTGCACGAGAACCACGCAAGACAAGCTTTGGATGACCAGGTGTGCACGAGGAATTTGCAGAGCAAGGTGTGGCCGAGCAGGTGTGCCCGTGGCCGGTGCCAGGCCGGGTGTGAGCAGCCCTCACCTCGGCCGTGCGCGCGTCGCGCTGCAGCCGCTCCAGCTGCCCCTCGCTGCCGCCCAGGAAGCCGCGCAGCACCGCGCTCTCGTGCTGCCCGCACTCCCGCCGCAGCAGCTCCATGCCCCGGCCCAGCTCCTTCACATCCAGCAGCACGTTCTCCAGGGACACTGCAGGGACACGGGACGGGTCAGTGGCTGTGTGGGGCCGGGACAGCGAGGTGGGGCCACGGGCACAGGTTGAGGGGCACCTGCTGCAGCCTTTTCCACGAAGTGCAGCTCCTGCCAGAAGGTCGCCAGCTCTGGGTACTTCTCCCGCACCGTCAGCGCGATGAAGTGCAGCAATGTCATCTTCCTGTCTGTTGACTTGGTGTCCAGGAGCTGCAGGAGGATTTGGGGAGGGGGTCAGAGCTTCAGGGCTGAGGGCTGGGAACCTCGGGGTCCCAGGGAGTCAGGGAGGGGCTGCCCACCAGGTCCAGGCTCTGCAGTTTGAAGCCGTAGACTGCGCCGCGTTTGCTGCTGTTCATGTAGTTGCCCAGCGCCAAGATGATCTGCAGGGGCAAAGCAGTGGGATTGGAGGGTCAGGAGGGAGCAAGACCCCCACAGGATCCCCCACACGCAGCTACAGTGAGGCTGGTGTGAAGGACCCCCACCCAGCCTGTCCTCACATCCTCACCTCCAACATGTGCTTCAGCTTCTGGGACGACTTAACAGAGGCCGAGGCTGCGATGATGGCGTTGAGCTGCTGCAGGGGGACAGCACAGGGGGGCTCAGCTGGGGTTCAGGGTGCAGGGGGTCCGGTACCCCCCTCCCCAGCTCCGTACCGGTGTCAGCATCTGGATGTTCTCGGCGAAGTTGCCGAGGAAGGCCATGATGGCCATGCGCTGGGGCAGCCGCTCCACCTTGCTGAACTGCAGCATGAACCTGTCCTCGTCCGCCAGCTCCTCCAGCGGCTTCCGCTCGCGCTCGTACTGCCGCAGCGCCTTGGCCTCCGCCTCCGTGGGCAGGAACCGCATCAGGCACTCCACAAAATCCACCGGCAGCGTCGCCAGGTCAAACCTGCCCCGCACCGAAATGTTGGGGAGCAGCTCCCAGCGGTGCCCAGTTTGGGAAGCCTGGATCCCAGCCTGGCTCCCTGCGAGCTGCTTGGCCACCCGGAACCACAGACAGAGCCCCTGCACACTGCCTGGAGCTCTGCACTCTGCCTGGAGCTCCTGAAGCCCAGTCAGACCATGTGCCCCCCAGACAAGTCCTCTGCACCCCAATAAGCCCCTCTGCACCTTGCCTGGCTCTCCTGTCGATCCCCCTCCCCCTGGCCAGACCCCTGCAGCCCAACAAGCCCCTCTGCATTCTAGACAGTCTCTCTGCACCCCACCTGGCCCCCCTGAACCCCAAACAACTCCCACTGCACCTCTGCCAAGACCCCCTGTACTCTGCCTAGGTTCTCTGAAGCCCAAGCAGCCACTCTGCCCCCCAGCCAAGCCATCTGCACCCCAACCAGCCCTCTTGAACCCTGCCTGTCCCTCCTGCATCCCAACCAGGCCTAGTGCACCCTTCCTGCACCCTCTGGACCCCAACAAAGCCCCCTGCACCCCAACCACTGGCCCTGTACCCTGTCTGGCCCCCCTGAACCCCAACCAGACCCACTTGCCCCCCAGCAAAACCCTCTGCAACCCAGCCAGTCCCCTTGAACCCTGCCTGGTCCCTCTGCACCCCAAGTGGCTCCCCTGTGTCCCAACTGTTCCCACTGTATCCCAACCAGGGCCCTGTACCCTGCCTGAAACCCCCACATCCCATCTTGACCCCTCTGCACTCTGAGCCACCAGAACCTCAGCCAGACCTGTCCCCTCTCCCAGCTGGCCCCTCTACACCTTTCCTGGCCCCTCTGCGCCCCAACCAGCCCCCTTGAAACCTGCCTGTCCCTCCTGCATCCCAACCAGGCCTGCTGCCCCCTTCCTGCACCCTCTCGACCCCAACAAACCCCCCTGCACCCCAACCAGGGGCCCTGTACCCTGCCTGAAACCCCCACACCCCATCCTGACCCCCCTGCACTCTGAGCCACCAGAACCTCAGCCAGACCTGTCCCCTGTCCCAGCTAACCCCTGTACACCTTTCCTGGCCCCTCTGCACCCCAACCAGCCCCCTTGAACCCCAACCAGCCCCCTTGCACCCCATTCCTGACCCTCCGTGCCCCATTTCTGGCCCCCCCGGCTCAGCCCATACGTGTGGATGGCCCGGCAGATCTCGTCGGCGCTGCGCCCGGCCTTGCGCAGGGTGATGGCCAAGTTCTTGGCACGGTTGGCCTCCAGCAGGGTCACCTTGGTGGCCACTTTCTGCGCCGCCTTGCTCTTGGCACACACCAGGTCCAGCGCCGGGCCCTGCGCCTTGGTCTTGAACAGCTCCTCGAAGCGCTCCAGGTCCAGGTCCTGGGGGGATGAGGGGGGTCAGGATTGGGGCTGGGGGTGCCCACACGGGGAGGGGTATGGGATTCACCCCCGTGGCAGGGAGAAATGATGAGGAGGACTCCATAGTATCATAAGGCTAATTAATTACTTTGTTATACTGTATTATTCTATACGATGTTACTATATTACTATTGTACTACATTCTATGCTATATTCCATACTATATTGCTATTATTATACTATATTATATTATTCTGAACTGTATTATTCTATACTCTATTACTCTATTACTATTATACTATATTCTATACTATAGCCTATATTATATTACTATTATTATTATACTATATTATATTATTCTATACTCTATTACTCGATCATTCTATACTGTATTACAATATTATTATATACCATATATATTAGTATATTATATACTATATTACTATACTATATTACGTGTTATAATATACTGTATTATAGTATATTCTATGCTATATTCTATACTATATTACTATTATTATATTATATTATATTATATATTATTCTATACTATATTACTATATTATTATATACTATATATATTAATATATTATGCATTATATTACTATACTATATTACATATTGTAATATACAATATTATAGTATATTCTATACTATATTACAGTTTATTATTCTGTACTATATTCTAAACTATATTACTATTATACTATATTCTATGCTATAGTGTCTACTATATTACTATTATTATACTATATTATATTACTTTATACTATATTACTATATTATTCTATACCATATATATTAGTATTTTATATACTATATTACTATACTATATTACGTGTTATAATATACTGTATTATAGTATATTCTATGCTATATTACAGAATATTGTTCTATACTATATTACTATATTACTATTATACTATATTCTATACTATATTACTATTATAGTATATTCTATACTATATTACTATTATAGTATATTCTATGCTATATTCTATACTATATTACTATTATTATACTATATTATTTTATACTATATTTTTCTATACTACATTACTATATATATACTATATATATTAGTATATTATACACCATATTACTATACTATATTACTATATTATTCTATACTGTATTACTCTATTATTCTATACTATATATATTAGTATATTTATACTACATTACTGGACCGGGGGTCGCAGGGTCTCCTCCGAGGGCTCGGGCTGCGGAGGTGGCGGCTCGGCGCTGGGAAGCGGGGGCGGCTCGGAGCCGTAGTGCCGCCGGAAAGCCTCGTCCTTCTCCTTGATCATCCTGCGCAGCGTGTGCACCTGGTGGCTCGTGTGCTCGTAGGTCTCCTGGGGACAGCGAGCGTCAGTCGGGGGGGATCGGGACCCTTCCCCGCTCCCTACAGCCCCTATGGCCCCCAGCGCACCTTGACCACCTCCAGCTCCTTCTCTCGCTGCAGCAGCTGCTTCTCCAGCTCCGCCACCCGCATCATGTTCTCGTTCTCCAGGTCCAACAGCTTCTCCGTTAGCTGGGGAAGAGGGACACGGCTGTGACAGCAGCTCAGGGTGTCACACTGACCTCCTTGGGATCCAGCAGGGAACATCCCCACACCCCCTGTGCTCACATACGTGGGACAGGTGCTCCTCCAGCTCCTCCACCTTCTCCAGGGCCACATTTTTGGTCTCGGCATCCTCCAGCAGCCCCCCCACATCGAAGACGTTGTCCAGGTACGCCTGGATCTGCACCTGCAGCTTCTCGCTCTCCGTGTGCCTCGACTTCTGTGGGCACCAAGGCAGCGTCAAGGATGGGGGGACCCCCCAACACAGCTCCCCTGACCCTCGACCCCCCCATACCTGCAGGAACTCCTCCAGCCCCAGCTTGGTGAACTCGTACTGGAGATGGACGCGGAAGTTCATGTCCTCCACCGAGTGCACCACGATGTTGATGAACTGCATGCAGGCCACCTGCAGGCAGGGCTGGCGTCACCAGGAGTCCTCCTGGCCCCCCAGAGAGCCTCCCCCTCGCCCAGGACAGGGTGTCCCACCATGAAGTCGATGCTGCTGTCCTCGTTGCGGAAGTATTCCATCAGCCGCTCAAAGCGGTGTTTCTCCTTGCACACCTGAGCAGGCAGAAATGGGGTTCACCTGGCATGGCCCCCCAGCCACTGACCCTCTCCCCTCCATCTTCTGGACTCCACTACCCTAATTCCAGTCTGGTCCTGATGCTCCCAGACCCCCCATTCCTCATCTTTCCTGATCCCTCCATCCCCTGCACTCCAGACTCCCCTTCCCAGCCTGGTCCTGGGGTCCCTGGTGCCCCCATCCCAGCCTTCTCTTGGGGTGTTCCCCCATCCCAGATTGCTCCTGGGGACCCTGGTGCCCCCATCCCAGCCTTCTCTTGGGGTGTTCCTCATCCCAGATTGCTCCTGGGGTCCCTTGTGGCCCCATCCCAGACTTCTTTTGGTGTTTCTCCCAACCCAGATTGCTC